TAAAAAGTAAAAAGAATTAGGAGCATTACACACGCACCCTGTAAAGAAAGAGGTTAAAGGTAAAGGGAGGCAACTCTTTCTTTTACCAGAGAATAATGTGAATGCTGAAGCCAAAAGACTATGGTACAGATATACCACTTATTACCTTTGTGACTATGAACAAGTTTCTTTACATCCCTAAGTCTTAGTTTCCTCATCTGTAAAAAAAGAAAAAGGGGGGGGGCAGTAGTACCATAATGGCTATCTGCCCAACATCCCATTTCTCTTTGCCTTTGGGGAATTATCTCCAGCCCTACCACGTATTTTATATGACTTCACCCACGGGGTAGACATGTGATCCAGGATCCAACTAAGAGCACCTCAGCCCTCTGACTACAATGCTATTCTAGAAATGTACAATGACACAGCAAGGCTAATTAAGTCCTTTCCTTGAAACATGGAGGAAAAGGGATACTCAGCTGAAATGAAGTATGCCTGCAGCTGCCCGTACAGTGTTTTCCATACACGGAGAATACCTATCTGCAAAAGGAGATAAAGTGGAGAAATGAGAGAAAGATTCCTGATAACAACATCTGAGTCCCTGGCTCCAGCCAATTCAGAAGCCCTCCTATCCTTCACAATACCCTTTTTTTGCTTAAGCTAGTGTGAGTTGTGTTTCTGCCCTCAACAATGGGAAAAAGCTCTCTATATTAACTATTCACAGAACTGTTGCAAAACTGAATAATAAGAAAAGTGCCTGGCAACTGCAAGTACTTCATAACTGGGTCATTGTTGAAGTTGTTATTCCTGTAATCAGAAAATAGCACCAAAGAGTGAAAGAAAAGCACTGCCAGAAACTAAAAACAAAAGGCAGGTAAGCCTAAAATAGCATTCCTGGGTGGAGGTAGCAGTTTGTGGACTAATACGGAGAAAGTAAGGACTCAGGCAAAGAGAGAACCTATAAGGCTCACAGATATTATCAGACTTCAGAAGAATTCACAGTGGAAGAACTAAGAAATTTTATTTCTTGCACTAAAATTCACAATAGAGTATGACTGACCTCCCAAAGCAGTTTGTATTTTCATAAGTATCTCAATGTTTAAAGAGATCTCAAAATGTACCACTATGATTTTCAAACCCACAAAACCAATCTCAAAATTTAAGATCTCATAGGACACAACTTAATTTCATATGGTTCATAATTATTGCTTTAGTCATTGTTATTCTGACATAGGTTTATACATTAAACATTTATGACAATTTTAGGAAAGTATCCTTCAACTTATGAAACAGATAAATTCCTTAAAGTTTTACCCAGAAAGAACTGTACCATCACTATGTACAGCTGACCCTTGAACAATGCTGGGGTTAGGGATGCCAATATCCTGCACAAATATCAGCATAATTTTTGACCCCTAAAAACTTGACTCCTAATAGCTTACTGTTGACTGAAAGCCTTACCAATAACACAGTCAACACATATTTTGCATATTACATACTGTATTCATACAATAAAGCTAGAGAAAATAAAGTGTTATTTAAAAAATCATAAGGAAGAGAAAATACATTTATAGTACTATATTGTATTTACTGAAAAGAATTATAAATGGACCCATAAGGTTCAAATCCATGTTGTTCAAGGATTCAACTGTAATATGAGAAGAAATCACAAAACTAGATTATGCATCCCCCAACCACCCATTAATCAACAAGCCAAACTGAAGTATTTTGGAGAAAATGAAGACTTAATTCCATGGCACTCTGAACACTGCCATACCCCCAAAACAACCATCCCTCATTTAGCAGTTAGTATCGTATGTGCAAGGCATTGTGCCAGCCTAAGCGCCACAGAAAGGGCTCCATTAGCTAAACTCAAGTATTTAGTCGCTACAATCTGATAAAGTTCATCATTTTCCCAACACACTGGGGGGAGGGTATTAAAGGAATTTTCTTAATTTTATTTTTCCTAATTTTTAAAATATTTTTTTAAAGATTTATTTGAGAAAGAGAGTGAGAGTGTGTGCACGGAGTAGGAGGAAGGGCAGAGGGAGAGAATCTCAAGCAGACTCCCTGCTGAGCAGAGAGCCTGATGTGGGGCTCAATCCCACAATCCGTGAGATCATGACCTGAGCTGAAACCAAGAGTTGGATGCTTAACCAACTGAGCCACCCAGGCACCCCGAAATTTTAAATTTAAAATGTTATTCTAATTTTTTTCTCAAACGCTATGGTCTTCCTCTACCTATTCAGCTAGAATCCACTGTGAGGTACCATCTGATTTAGCATATAACTACATACTTAAGCTACTTTATTTTGGTTCTCAGTGGTATTCTGCAAAGAGCACCTGAATTTTTACAGAAATTTGAAATGCACAGTATTAAGAGATGAAGAATCACTTATAAGCCAGAACAAATCAAGTATCTCAGTAAGTTATCAAACTACAGAGGAAGGATACAAAAATTTAAAAATAAATTTAAAATAAGAAAAATATAAATGATAAAACAATAAAACAAGTTCTACAGGCAATCTGTGTAAGGAGTGAGATCATGAGAGAAATGAAATAGTAGTAGCAAAAAGGTGATTCAAAAGAAGTAGGCTCTAGGGAAGGCTTTGACAAGGCAGACAGGCAGCCTGGTGCCAGTTCCAGGCTGTGCTACGATGCTACAACAGCAGACCTGTGAGTTTTATCTCACAAGCTCATGGGCAATTAGAAAAAGAGGTGTCACAAGAGAACTTTAAATAATTCAGGTAGGGGCACCTGGGTGGTTCAGTTGGTTAAGCGCCTGCCTTCGGCTCAGGTCATGGTCCCAGGCTCCTGGGATCAAGCCCCACGTCCGGCTCCCTGCTCCGCGGGAAGCCTGCTTCTCCCTCCCCCACTCCCCCTGTGCTTGTGTTCCCTCTCTCACTGTCTCGCTCTGTCAAATAAATAAATAACTCAGGTAACATATAAACTCCCAGTTTCAGAGTAACTTTATAATTCAGTCTAAATGTACTGTCATACAGCATGAAAACCTCAATGAACTAGGAAACAATCAACAAGTCCTCTAATCAATGATAGAAAATATATAAAGTCCATGTTCTTGTCAGGAACTAGAACTAAAACTTCTCTGTTGTTCAATCCTTTTTAAAAACTTAATTACAAAAATAACATGCATAGAGGCTTTTCTCTGAGTGGTTCCGAAGGCCATGTAATCTATTTATTCCTTTAGACATTTCTAAATTGTATTCTTAGATCAGGCCAGATTAGACCACTGCTGATCCATCTCACTCCTAAACTGTCTCATAAAATTGCGTTTTTGTATCGTGACATTTGCTTACACTAAGGAATATTAAGAAAAATCATAAAAAGCTCATTGTTATGGCTGCTGGAAGAATGCTATCCAAATGCTGTCCCTCTTTACGTACATCAGGTCTCAAGAACATGAAGAGCAATGTTTTTATCCAATGGACACTGAATCCTGTAAATGATTCATTATCCTCCTTTGTTTTGGCCATGAGGAAGCTCAGAGCAATATTTCCAGCCCTTTTCCAACAAATGAATGGACTATGTAGTTTGCATCTCCAGAAGGAAATGTTACCTCAGTTTATTATTCTCCTATCTTTATTTCTACTTTCACGTGATTCTCTTTCCTGTGCTCTTGAATTATTTTTTTTTGTAAACTGCCTCACATCCTTTGTGGAATAAGACGGGGTACAAAGAAATAATACATAATCTAGAATTCAAAACAATTAGAATTAGAGGGGTGTTAAAAATTTACCACATGATACTCTTAAGAGAGTAAGAGAGAGGAAGAAAAATATTTGCAAAAAATTTTTCTTTCAAGTCCAGGATATCTGTCAGAATTAATATATGTTCAAACAATCTTCTATAATGTTGACGTAGGTCTACAGTACTATACAGTATCAACTGAAACTCAGAATAATGACCAAGGGTACTAAAAGAGCCTATTAAATAGAATATTAAAATGTTGCAAGTTTTTCTCCATAAAACAGGATTAGGTTAGACAAAATTTTAGATATATTTTAACCACCATCACCACCACATTTTCCAGTTAAACCTTTAAAAACCCAGTTTAAGATAAAAGCTCATTATCTTACCATTACCCAGTTAATCTAAGTAATTATGGACATTCTCTAAGGTTCTATTCTGGCCTCTCAGAAACTCAGTGGGCATTTCTACCCTCACAGTTTCAACTTCTATGTGAATGATTCCAAAATCTCTATCCCATCTCAATTGGGCTGCCTAGTCACAATCTCAAGTAAAATATTCAAAACAGTGCTTAGTTATCTTTCTCTTCTTCCTCACCCCTATAAGCAACCCTTCCCAAAGAGCTCATTCTGTCCAATTCCAAGGCTTCAAAGTCATCTTTGATATTCCCTCTCTTCATCTCTGGCATTCCATCTTATCAGGCTTAACCATTTCTTCTTTTGAAGTGTCTTTGTGACTGGCATTTTCTTTTTCATTTGCACTTTTATCTTACTAGGTCAGGCCCTAATTATAAATTAGTCTCTCTCAGACTTTCTATTTCACCACCTCAGCGTTGTTTTTTAGCAAGTCACTTCCCTCAAACCTGCAGTAACAGCTTCCTATAACCTATTACATCAAAGTGACATCCCTCAGTCTGAACTTGCAGGGAAATCCAGGATCCGGCCCCACACTAATTATCTCACATTTCCCGTAACTATCCCTAAATCACCATTTACTACACCGGGCCAAACAGGTGAATACACCCTCAAGGCCAAGTCATTCTTTACTTATTCTGCTTCTCCTCTCTATACCTGGAATGCCCTCTTCTCTGTCTTAGCCAAATCTTACTATTCTTCAGGCCATGGCTCATGCGTCATCTCAATAACAAAGCTCTCGCCTACATGATGACTACTGTTTGGTTCAGAACCACATGATTCTTGACTTGAACACTTTCCTAAACTAACCAATCACTACTTTTGACAGCAACCACTTAAATTTCATGCAAATGGCAACCACTAGGCAAATGATTCGAATGGAGCAAACTGAAGTCTTACTTAATGTTATAATGTCCAGTTTTCAGTGTACATCTATCAGGAAGCTGAGCAAGTTTCTTTGAGAGCATTTTAAAATATTTCCTGCACTCCTGCACGCCTGTGCCTTGTTCATAGTCAGTAGAAGCAGAAAGTGGCAGCCCATCTCTGACACGAATGACTGACGCAGATAAAATCATAGACATTTCAACCAGCAGAGGATACCTAAAACAAAATGAACAATTTGGGTTAGATAAAAAATGAAAGCCAAACCTGATAAACAGTGCAAAAATGTTCAACTCACTAATAATCAAAGATTCACTAATTAAAAACAATGACATACTACACTTTCCTTAACAAATTAGCTTTTAAAAAATAATAACTGTTAGGACACCTGGGTGGCTCAGTCGGTTGAGTTACCTGCTCCTGATTTCAGCTTAGGTCATGATCTCAGGATCCTGAGATCCAGCACCACATCAGCCTCTGCAATCAGGGTGGAGTTTGCTTGTCCCTCTCCCTCCCCCTCTGCCTCTCCTCCAGTGCATGCGCTCGCTCTCTAAATATTTTTTAAAATTTTTTAAAAAAATAATACTTGCTTCTTTTTGGCATTCTTTTAAGTATTTGCAGAAGTAAATATTGGAATAAACACCATTCTCAAAATAATTTGGCGATATTCAAAAGAGTGTAAAAATACTGATGCCCTTTGACCACAAGATCAATATAAATATATAACCATATCCTAAGGGAAGTAATCAGATTCAAACAAAATTTTAAACAGATTATGCTAAGTGAAATAAGTCAAGCAGAGAAAAGTCAATTATCATATGGTTTCACTTATTTGTGGAACATAAGGAATAGCATGGAGGACATTAGGAGAAAGAAGGGAAAATGAACGGGGGGAAATCGGAGGGAGAGACGAACCATCAGAGACTATGGACTCTGAGAAACACACTGAGGGTTCTGGGTGGGGGGGGGTTGGGTTAGTCCGGTGATGGGTATTAAGAAGGGCATGTACTGCATGGAGCACTGGGTGTTATACAGAAACAATGAACCGTGGATCACTACATCAAAAACTAATGATGTACTGTATGGTGACTAACATAATAAAATAAAGTTTAAAAAAAATTTTAAACAGAAAGGCATTCTTTCACAGAAATAACCAAAAACAATCTAAACATCCAACAATAGGGGAATGGTTAAATAAATTATAGTACACTCCTATGATGGAATATAATGAAGAACAGTTATGTTTATGAAAAAGAGTTCAATAATGTAGTAAAATGCTTACATATAAATCAGAAAAAAAGCAGGATAAAAACTGCAAATGTTGCTTTCTATAAAGACAAAGAGAAGAAGGGAGGGATAAATGGAGAAACAGATATCAGAAGGAAACATGCTAAAATTATAATAATGCTTATCTCCAGAAAATAGTATCATGGGTGATTGTTATTTTATAATTTCCTAAATGTTCATAATATTCCAGAGTGGGCATATATTACTTTTATAATCAGAAATAAAATTTTATTGGGGTGCCTGTGTAGCTCAGTCAGTTGAGCATCCAACTCTTGATTTTGGCTCAGGTCATGATCTCAAGGTCTTGAAATTGAGCCCCCTGTCAGGCTCCCCACTCAGCAGGAAGTCTGCTTGGGATTCTTTCTCTCTCCCTCTGCCCCTCACCCTACTGATGCACACTGTGTCTCTAAAATAAATATATCTTTAAACAACAAAAAAAATTTATTTATAGTAAGTCTTAAAGCTAAAGGAATACTGGTTTTAATATTGCTCTCAATGTCTTTACCAGAAAATAAACCATAATGGCTTCTTTTATTATATTCTGATCAAGCTTCACAAAAGTAGATAAAAGCACTTCACAGGCTGGGTCTGAAAGAAATCAGGTAAACAGAAACTTTGCTAAAAACTATACAATGTTGCTTAAATTTTAGCTTGTAGAAAAACCACTGGAAGTTTGGTTAGAAATGCAGATTTCTGAACCTCCCCCTGCCCCCAAATTCTGATCCACTGACTACGAGGTAGAGCTTGAGAATCTTCCATTTTTAATGGAAGGTAATTACTATGCTCAGTGTCTACGGATCATACTTTGAAAAACACTAAATTAAAACATGTTCACAGTCAAGTGATAACTCTTTCTTGCCAGGCCTTCCGAGAATAATGCCACTAAATACTGCTTCACTAGCAGTAGGGTAAATGGTGAAAACTGAAAATTTTGAAAACAATTTCATAGGCTTTTTTCAAGATATCGTATCCCAGAGACTAAATCTTCACCTGTCCTGTTCAGATAGCTCAATATTATCTCATTCCTAAAAATGAAAAACTGAGTTTGTTATGGAAATGCCAAAGAAAACCAACTAGTACTGACTTGGGAAATTGGTACTATAGTTACTCGTTTTCACTGCTGTGTAAAGTTGCAATGTGTCTATCCATGATGGTAACTGAGTGACACGAAAAATTAACCCAAATGACAAAGTTAATGCATTAAATTTACTCTCCCTTTTCCTCTTTTCGTGAGAAAATGAAAGGAATAGCTAGGTATTAATGTATCATTACTATTTTTCTCCTTCATTCATTTAAAAGGAAAAAAACCCAACAGGAATTAAATTAGCCTTTACCATAATGGGATCTTCTAACAGAAGTCCAACATAACATTCAAATCATTTTTTTTTCCTATTCAATCAGTTTCCTTTCCAAAAGCAGTAGCAAGAGAAAGCTGGGATTCCTCAAGGGATAATACCTAAACTACAAACCCATTTTAAAAATTTACTATGTTTTATTAATTATTAAACCATAATTATGAGATTTAGCCTAAGTATAAGTAGGAAAATGTCTTACTTCGTACCCTTAGGCATTTATTATTTAAATATAAAATTTTTTCTTCCTGAAGTTTACTGCAACACAATGATTACTCTGGGAATTAACATGAGGGCAGGGTTGTGACTTAATAATTTCCAAACACCCATATTCTTAGTATTTAAAAGTAGACTGCATTCTTTTTTTTTCCTTGCTATAGCTTTTTTTTTTTATTATTATGTTATGTTAATCACCATACATTACATCATTAGTTTTTGATGTAGTGTTCCATGATTCATTATCTGCGTATAACACCCAGTGCTCCATTCAGTACGTGCCCTCTTTAATACCCATCACCAGGCTAACCCATTCTTCCCCCAACAAAACCCTCAGTTTGTTTCTCAGAGTCCATAGTCTCTCATGGTTCATCTCCCCCTCCAATTTCCCCCCCTTCATTTTTCCCTTCCTACTATCTTTTTTTTTTAACATATAATGTATTATTTGTTTCAGAGGTACAGAGTAGACTGCATTCTTTTATGCCTGATCTTTCTAGGATCACAACAGAAATATTAGGAGTAATCTTTATTACAGAGTGCCAATTTTCATGTAATCTTCAGTTACTCTTTTCTTTTTTGTGAATTAAAAACAGAAAGGATATGATTCGTATTTCCTAAAACATATACTAAGAAACAAATACCAACCTGTAAGTTCCATTCATTTAACAAACATTTATTGAGTAGGTACTGTATGCCAGGGACTATGGGAGACATTAGGAATACACAGTTCCTACCCTCAAGGACCAACAATCCAGAATTAAAGAAATTCAGATGAAAAGAGCAAACACAACACAAGTTGTGTCACCCACCACTTAACTAACTGGAAAACTAGAGTTAGACAAACCTGCATTTCAGATATTCCTAACACATTTAGGCTTGTAACCAAACCCACAACACAGCATTGATAGTCCCTGTCAAGATTCTTAAAAGGTTGTCAGAAAATCGCTTCTATCAGTAGATAAAATTCCTCTGAGGAGAAAAAGCTAAATTTCTTCCTCCCAGAGTCACTGGACCTCATATCCAAACCAGTGAGCTAGCAAAAGAAACTGTCATGACTGCCCAATGAACAATGTCAGGCTTGACTAATTTGGACTTCAATCACTTTAGGATAAGCAATCTCTCTTCTATTAACTACTACCTCTCCCCTCTTTTCTGTTTCTACTTTGGATTCTTAATGCAGTTCCTTAAAAAAACAACAACAACAAAAAACCACTCCAATCTCATCTGGACTTTGCTAGTAGAAAAAGGTATCTGTCCACATAAAGGCTGAGCTAGGGTTAGAATACCCTTAGAGTCTAAGCACGGTGGTGGTTGGGAAAACCAAGGAAAAATTGATGGGAACTGAGGAAATCAAGAGGTTACCATGTGCATGGGAAGATTCAGGAGCAACAGTAGTTTTATCAGGGCCACAGATACATTTTTAGGCCATGATCCATTTTTCCACACCTTTAACACTGAAAAAAATATATGTCTCTAGACAGCAGAAAACTCACAGGGAATCTGAGTACTGACCTGTATATCCTTTCCTCAACAGCAACTGCTAAAAGAAAAATCCCAAATTAGAATCTGGGTAAGTCTGGGAAAACATTTATGTAGACACTGAGGAAAATGAACTCCCACTATGCCAATGGTCAGCAACTGTTTAGTCCCAGGATAACAGGATGCTGACCTCTTCTTCAGAACCTTGTGAGGTAATGACTGTGGGCCACCAGGAAAGCACTTTCTCAAAAAGTAATTAACAAAACCCAACATATAAGTGTATTTTATATCTACTTCCCAGGAAGATGTTTTCATAAAAGATAAAAACATTTCATATCGGGTTAACCACTCATATCTTATTTTAGTTATTTCCCAAACTTAAATCATCCAAGTACCATTTTCAGAATTATTTTTTTTTAAGATTTTATTTATTTGAGAGAGAAAACAAGCGAGGGGAGGGAGAGAGGGAAAGAGAAAATCTCAAGCAGACTCCACACTGAGCTTAAGAGCCTGACGCAGGGCTCCATCTCATGACCCTGAGATCATGACCTGAGCCTACGTCAAGTCAGCTGCTTAATCCGACTGAGCCACCCAGACACCCCCATTTTCAGAAGTCGTACCACATCTACACCTTACTATCATTTACCTAATGTAGGTCTTTCAACTGACTTATTTTTTTGCCCTATCCTTAGCAATAATATCTGTGAAATCAGTTTTGAGATGTTAGAGGTTTTTCTCCTAGAGATTTTGTTGTTGTTGTTTCATCCAAATATGTGTGTGTTAAATTTTCTGGAAAATTATTTAAAATGTTCATCTACTTATCACTCAAATTATCTTGCATGTGAAACACTACCTTGGTACATATTTTATTGAAAATGCTAGCTGAGATCTGTGGGAATTGGGAGTCGGGGTTACTGGGAGAGAAAGCTATATTAATTGTGATGCGTAGGGTGGGAGCAAGATTGAAAGAAAAGGGAAGGACTTTGCACAGCCATAGGTTAACAGAAAGACACTTGAAAAACAGCTTGAGGAGGAAAAGGGGAAAGGGTATCAAAGACAATCAGAATTTATTTTGCAGCTTTGCCTATGCCCCTCACCTTACCAACAGCCTTCAATACTCCTATTACAGGTATTTGTACTACACAGTAGTATGTGTAAGACCTCAGGCTCCAGAGTAGATTATACCCACAACTAGGAACAGGGCCCCCAATACATGCACAAATGTGTCAATCCCCAACAGTTATGCAGCACCTCACAGTTTACAAACAGCGAGGTAGGTATAACCTCCATTTTATAGATGAGGAAACTGAAGGTCCCATTCTCAATGTCCCATTGCAAATATATAGCAGAACTGGTGCTTAAACCTAAATTTCTTGTATCTCCACATTGCTGTGCTACATTGGTCTCCTAAAACCCACAAGGGGCAAGAACCTGGTGATACAGAAGCTATCTAGCTACTAATTTTGAAATAATAAAAGACCACCTTACATTTTCTTTAAGAGGAAGTAAAACAGTTAACAAGATGGACTCTAGAACATATGCCTGGGTTCAAAAACTGGCTCCACCCCTGTGCTAACTGTGAACTTGAGCACCTGTAAATTGTGGTCACTAATATTATGTATCTCATAAGATTGTTTTAAAAATACTAACAGTATCTACCTGATAGGGATACATAAAGAATCTGAAACATCACCTTGAAGAAGAAAAATACAATATTGTTTATTATTATATTAACTGACTGCCCTCTATTTACCAGGCACTTTATACACTACTTCATTTAAACCTTCCGATAACCTGTGAGAGAGATATTATCAGTTCTACTTTACCTTTGAGGAAATTCAAGCTCAGAAAAGTAATTTATTCAATTCCTACATTCGTAAGTGACAGATTTAAATGCAGGCCTAACTCTAACCACCCAATGAGACACTGCCTCACAACATTTCCAAGCTTCCTACTCAAGTATATGGATACTTTGATAAGACCTGTGCTTCTTTTAAACATCAATATAAAACATAGATTTTTTTCAAAATCAGTTCATACACCAAAAAAAAAAAAAAAATCACTAAACTGATATCATGGTTCTCAACATAGAAAATGCCCAGATGTCCCATTAATTTAGGTCATGGTCACATATCAGATTCAAATACTGAACTACCTTCAATAATGGAAAGTATAGGTACTATTTCAAGTATTGCCTAACTCCTTATAATCTCAGCACGTGAGCAAATTCAGAATTTAGAAAAGTAGTTGTTCCACCTGTTAGCTGGGATCACAACATCTCCAGTCTGGTGGCTGACTGACACTCTAGCCCTGTCCTTTGCCTTGGCTGTATACGCATAGGAGGGACTGGTTCTCAAGCTCTCCAACCGCCCCAGTGGGTGATCCAGGAAACTAAGGCGGAGAAAAGTCCAAAGCTGTTTTCGCTGGCAGAGAGATTCAAGTCAGCTGGAGCTCGGCCTCCTATTCCGGAGCCCTCTTCCACCTGTCGAGCCAATTGCTCAGGTCTCCTTTAAGCCACATCGCTTCCAAAGTGCCATTAACGGGGCCTTAAAAGGTTTCTGTTGGCGAACGCGGGCCAATCTCTGGGCTCAGTGCCCATTAAATCCCCACAGAACGCGAAGTAAGCCACTGGTTCAAATCCCACCCTGCCTTTAAAAAAAATAGTAAATGCCACGTCAAGCTCTCTAGGCCATCTAAGTAGCCTAGGTGGATTACCGTGTCTCTAACAACTGGGCTCCAGGGAATGCCCCCCACTGCTGGCAGCCCACAGCGACTGTCCCTCCCCCGGAACCCCCTGCTTGGCCTGCCCCATACCCAAGAGAGGTCAGCCGAGGGGCAACCGCCGCTCGCGCGGACCCACAGCCCCCTTCAAGTCGAAGGGGACGAAGCCCCCGCAATCCCACCTCTCCAGAGCTCCGCGGCTCCAACCACCGGGCTCCCACCCCCACGGCACGCGCTGGGTTCCTGTCCAGGGGGAGGTCTGTGGTCCCGAGGGTGAGGGCCGTGGCGGCTAGCAAGGAGAGCGAGGGGAACGCCTCCCAGGGGTTCCAGCGACCCTACGAGGGGAGGAACGAGAACTCCGAGAGGTCAGGTCATACCTGCCGAGCCGGGACCCGCCGCTCCGAGCGACACGACCCGCGATGCATTGTGGGGCCAGGGAGTGGCCTTTCTGTGGGGCAGCCCCGCGTTCAACGTGGCTGGCTCCCGACGGGATCAAGCTCCGCCCCCGTTTCCTCGGCTCACCCGGGCCAATCAGGTTCTGTGGGAAGGACACACTGACCCGCCCCCATCCTGGAAAGATTGGCAGCTTTTCACGCACCTGCGCCAAGAGGTTGCAAAGTCCTCTCGTGACGCTGACAGCTAATGCTGTCTCTCACAAATAAAGCTAATCTCTTCTGCCTATCGCTTGTGTCTGGAGGCAGTTTGTCACGCGGCCCTACAGCAAACACTTACCCAAGCAGCGGGGGGGGGGGGGGGGGGGGAAGCCCGCTCTGAGTGAGCAAGAAAAGGACTTGCCCCATCTATCACCACACAAGAGGAAGCACCTAACCTTGGCAGAGGAATGGCAGATGCAGACCCTGCAGCCCCTTCCAACCTTTGCATGGGTCATACATTGCTAAATAAGCACTATGACTGTGTACCACGTGCAAAGCACAGTGTTAGGCATTGGGTTACAGGAACAAACATAACCACTGGATGGAATCTAAAGTGCAATAGGAGCAAGAAACGTTAAAGCATAAATCATTACATAATTATAAATTGTCATCAGTACTATGAAGGAAAATTAGTAGGTATGATGATGGATTAATTCTGGACTATCAGGGAAGATGTCTTTGAAGAAGTGCCTTTTAAGTTCCAGGCATATGAAAAAGCCTAAAAGAACGTTTCAAGCCAAGAGAACATTAAGTGTTAGGTTGTTGGGGGCGTGAAAGAACTTGGTGTGTTCTAGGAACTGAAAGGAAGTCAGTGTGGTTGAAATGTAGGGAGCAAGCTTGGGCAGAGATGAGATAGAAGCCAGACCATGCAGGTTCTTATTTGCCACATAATAGATTTTAGATTGTATTTTGGAGTGTATCCTAAGGTTAATGGGCAGCTAATAGAGAATGTTAAATAGGATCTGATTTACATATTTAAAAGCTCACTCAGGCTATTTGTGGGAAATAGTTTAGAAGAGGGTAGGAAGGGTTGCTGAAAGGCCAGGTTGGAGGCAGTTATATTAGTCAAGGCCAGAGAGGATGGTGGCTTGAACTAGGGTAATGGCAGCAGAGACAGTGAGAGTTGGATAATTTCAGGACATGTATAAATGAGAGGTGGAGTCCAAGGGACTTAATAATGGATTGGTTTTCTGGGAAGAGAAAGAAAAGAGGAGCATTAAGAATGACTTAGGCGGGGGCAACAGCGCGGCGGGCGGGGGCCGAGACCCAGACTGCAGAGCAGCAGGCACCCGGGAGGCCCAGAGCGGGGCGAGTGCCATGAGCCGCAAATGCGAAGTGGTCGTGGTGGGGGGCGGCATCTCAGGCATGGCAGCGGCCAAGCTTCTGCATGACTCTGGCCTGAATGTGGTTGTTCTGGAAGCCTGGAACCGGGTGGGAGGCAGGACTTACACCATCAGGAACCAAAAGGTTAAATAGGTGGACCTTGGAAGATCTTATGTTGGGCCAATTCAGAATCGTATCTTAAGATTAGCCAAGGAGCTAGGACTGGAGACCTACAAAGTGAATGAGGTAGAGCGTCTCATTCACCACGTAAAGGTGGAAATGAGCAGTACAGAGACATACTCCTCACTGGTAGAAATCATCCCTTTAGAAGACAGAAGTAACTAGCAGCAGCCAATTTGGATTTACATTAACAATGTTGACACCCTTATATTATTTGTGAGTGATAATATCAAGAAGGACAAAAAGCAGACTGTACATTATGAGTCATTTAATAAAACAGGAAATAAACATCTATCTAATTTGTTAAAAAAAAAAAAAAAAGAATGACTCCTTAAGTAACTAGATGGATTAAGAAGCCATTTACTGATTCAGGGAATGTAAAAAGAGGAGAAAATGGTTTTGGATATGAGTTTGAGATGCTTACAAATGGAGGGGTCAAACAGATTTGAATGTGTAAGTCTGGAGTTCGGAAGAAATGTCTGGACTAATTACATAAATTTGGTGGTTATTGAAGTGGGTTAACCCAGCAATTCTACTCCTAGGTATATATGCAATAGAAATGTATCCATGTGTTCGCCAAAAGACATATATAAGAATGTTAAGAGGATGGATAAGTTTAGAATATTCACATAGTAAAATGGTATACAGGAAAGAGAATGAACAATTTACCAGTACACACAAAACATGGATGAATTTCACAGTCATAAAATTGAGTGAAATAAGCCAGACACAAAAATCATATATTATATGATTTTACTTTTATAATATTAAAAATAGACAAAAATAATATATGGTAATAGAAGTTGGGATATTCCTTATCCTTAAGCGGTATTAATGTTTAAAAAGGGCCACTAGGGGGCTCCTGGAGTTCTAATAACTGTTCTTGATCTGGGTGTTGATTACACCAGTGTGTTCAATTAATGACAATTCATCAAGCTGTACACTTAAGATTTATGCAATTTTCCAGTATGTATTTTATTATTCAGTAGAAAGTTTACATTTTAAAAATGTTATGGGTGATCCAGCCATGAATAAGTTACTGGTACCAGACTAAACTTCCTATAACAAACAATAGAAAACTGGACCAAATCTATGAAAGAAGTGTTTTCAAACATTGGACAATAGGCATACTGGAAAAAAAGGAAAACAAATAAGATGAGCCCAAAGGTTTCCCCAGATTTCTTTCTGGAGGTATTTACCTAAGCACAGGATAGAAAAAAGCCAAACAGATTATATTACTCCTCCTAACTGAGGAGAGAGAAATTGAAATTAGGAGACATTGAGGCAAATGAAATTTGCAGGGCAGAATACCAGAGAAAGAGCCCCAGAAATATGCATAAGGGTCTCCATGAATCTTTGGTGTAGGTTTAAGGATAGATTTCATGAGCCTAGTTAAATAACAACTACTGAGGGAACTGTAAACTGAACAACTACTAGAGCTTGAATAAAGTTTGGAAACATTCAGTTCTGACCAATTGGAATGACGACACCTTATTAAACACCTGGGGCGTTTGGTAGGGAGACCTCATAAAGGCCACACTTTAGAAATAAGGCTAGGGGCGCCTGGGTGGCTCAGTCATTAAGCGTCTGCCTTCGGCTCAGGTCATGATCCCAGGATCCTGGGATCGAGCCCCGCATTGGACTCCCTGCTCTGCGGGAAGCCTGCTTCTCCCTCTCCCACTCTCCCTGCTTGTGTTCCTTCTCTTGTTGTGTCTCTCTCTGTCAAATAAATAAAATCTTTAAAAAAAGAAAGCAAGCAAGCAAGCAAGCAAGCTAAACTAACCCAAGAGTAAAGCCTATTCTCTCCAATAAAGCTTATCTGCAAGTAATTGTTTGCTTGAATGAAACTTAACAATCTTTAAATAAAGACGAAATCCGGGTGCCAAACCAGTAATACCCACCATGTCCATTATCCAATAAAAAAAAAAAGTTACTGAATATGTGAAGAAGTAGGAAAATGTGAACCATGAACAGGAGAAAAATCAGTCAATAGAAGCAGACCCAGAAATGGTGAAGATGATGAAATTAACAGATAGGAACTTTATTTTTTTTTTTAAGATTTATTTATTTATTTATTTATTTTACAGAGAGAGAGAGAGCGAGAGCATGTGGCAGGGAGGGGCAGAGAGACAGGGAGAGAGAAAGAGAGAGCCCCAAGCTGATTCCCCACCTAGTGTGGAACCCCACATGGAGCTCCATGCAGGGCTTGACATGGGGCTCAACCCATGACCCTGAGATTACAACCTGAGCAGAAATCAAGAGTCAGACATTCAATCAACTGAGCCATCCAGGTGCCCCAGCAGATAGGAACTTTAAGGCAGCTATAATAAATGTGGTCAAGAATTTAAAGACACGGGGCGCCTGGGTGGCTCAGTCATTAAGCGTCTGCCTTCGGCTCAGGTCATGATCCCAGGGTCCTGGGATCGAGCCTCGCATCGGGCTCCCCGCTCCGCGGGAGGCCTGCTTCTCCCTCTCCCACTCACTCTGCTTGTGTTCCCTCTCTCACTGTGTCTCTCACTGTCGGATAAATAAAAAATCTTAAAAAAAAAAAGAATTTAAAGACAAACATAAATGTAATTAAAGAAACTATAAAAAGAATCAGATAAAACTTCTAGAGTAGTAAAATATAATATCCCAAACGAAAATTTCACTGGATGGGTTTAAATACACCTTAGACATTGCAGAAGAAAAGATCTGTGAATGAGGAAACAGTATGAAAAAATGAACTATGGGGCACCTGGCTGGCTCAGTTAGTTAAGCATCTGACTTCAGCTTAGGTCATGACCTCAGGGTCCTGGTATCAAGCCCTGCTTAGGGCTCCCCACTTAGTGGGGAGTCTGCTTGCCCTTCTTCCTCTGCCCCTCCCCCTGCTCCTGCACGCTCACTCTCTCTCTCTCATATAAATAAAATCTTAAAAAAAAAGAACAAACTACACCAAAGTACAGGGAGCAGTAAATTTAAAAATAAAATGAACAGAGACTTGGTAACCGGTATGACAATAGTTATCTAACATATGTGTAACCAAGAGATCCAGAAAGACAGGAGAGGAGATTTAAAAAAATATGAAGAAATAATAGCCAAAAGTTTTCTAAGTTTAATAAAAAACATGAAAACATAGGTCCAAGAAAGAAAACCAACCCAAAAAAGGATAAACACAAAGAAATCCTTACTGAGGCACACTACATTCAAACTGCTAAAAATATTAGAAATGGTCAGAGAAAAAGCCACATAGTATACAGGGAACAAAGAAAAGAATTACTACTGACTTAACATCAGAAAGAATGTAAGCCAGAATATAATAGAATACAATCTTTAAAGTCCTAAAAGGAAAAGCTCTGTCAATCTAGAACTTTATATCCAGCAAAAACTCTTGCAAAAAATGAAGGTGAAATAAAGGCATTTTCAGACAAACAAAAGATGAGAAAATTTGTTACTAGCATATCTGAATTATAATAAATGCTAAGGAAAGTTCTTCAGACTA